ATGAGAAAGCCATCATCATCTTTTCATCTAGCATAAAGATATATACTCAGTATCTATATATTTTATATACAAAAGTATGATGTATGCGAACATGGAAAATGTTTGATTCTTACCTGATGCGTTGAAGCCGTCATTATCTTGGCGGCAAGAATAAAGATAAAAACCCAATTATTTGTGTTCAGAAACAGCTAGATCGATTCACATGTCACTATAATCGAACAATATAAGGATAACCAGAATTCAATTCAATGAAAACTTACATCGAGAAGGTTCACATCATAATAATTTATTACAAAATGCAAACCCCCCTGAAATCTCATCATCAAATCTCAATCACCGCCGTCTCCGTCTCTCAAATACAGTACAGAGAGATTCGAAGAGGTAGATAGAACTAATAATTTTACCACAAGTGTGAACGACGATGATGATTCTGTCATTTTGTGAGATGACGTGTCAAGAGAGTCATTGCTCATTTATATAGTAGATTCTAAAATTATATAATACATATATAAAACCAATTACATAATTAAAAGTTTTATAACAAAGTAAACAACTTTTTTTTGTTTTTTTTTCACATATTCGTATTCGATATTTTCACCAAACTGAAATCACAAAATATTGAATATATAAACAAATTAATATTGTGACAAAAAAAATTAATAATGTTTAGTAATTTACGGTATGTAAACAAATTCACAAAATCATCGTTTTGTCTTCCTCTTCTTCTTTTTCAAGGAAGACATTGACGAGACAAAAAGAAAAAAACGAAATACCTCTCCAATGAATCGGTTTCACGAGGAGGCCAAAAGTAAAAAACCAAATAAATCTTTTTCGGTCCAACCATCTATAACATGTGTTGTTCGGTTAAATGGTTTCGTACTCAACCGGAACTTTACGAAAAAGTGATTACGTATATATCCGAATTCTTTTTTTTTGTTTTCCTTTTTCCAAATCACACACATTCTCCAATGAAAAAAAGAAATCAATGTTCTAAAATACAGTGTATGCGTCCACGTATACGGCGTTTAAGCACTATACAATGGTTTGTCATATCGTATTTATGTTATACATATTTTGAAATGAAAAAAAAATTATTTGTGTAAACGATAACTAAATGACCGAATATACAATTTGACACGTATATATTCTAAAAGTTTAAAATAAAACTATGTTTAATTTTTGACCTTTTTCCAAAAATATAACTGATATAATTATATTTTTTGTTACTTAAAATAATTTTGTTATATATTGTATGAGTTTACAAGATAAGGAAGAAAGTGTTATTTTTCTTGCAGTTATGAAGAAGTTTTACAAGTTAAGGCTGCCGTTTTATCAGCAGAGATTGGGCAAACTGTGCATGTAAACTTTTATCTCTAACATAGACTATAACAATTAACATTGAGGTACGCATATAGGACTGTATCATGGCTGATGTGGCATATCGACTGCTTGAAATAAACAATGAAATGAAAGTTCTTCATGGAGCAGGAGGTGATGATGTGGATAACAAGAACAAGAAGAAAAAGCGCCAGAGTGAAAAGAAAAAAAAGAAATGGTACTCTAACACCTCAAACCACCAACCTGATGAGAAATCGGTTAGTATTTCTTGAGCTGTGTATGTAAATTTTAATTTTGAACATTGACTGAAAAATGGAATCAGCCGATCGAAAAATCTTCCGATGGAGCCGCTGATTTCTTTCTGCCCACATGTTGTAGATCGTCGCTTGCCAAGCAAGGAGTGATTGTAGAGGCCCAGTCATGATATGCCAGTGTTTGTGAACGGTAAGCAACACTGCTCCAAATTGACCAAGTAAATCTACAGGCGAATAACAGTCTCTACTCACTAGAAGATCATTACAAACCAAACATTTAGGATCAGTTTGAAGGCCCCAACCTAGGATCCTATCTTTTGTGGGACAACGATTAAGCATAAACAACCAACAAAGAAGCTGTCTCGTGGAATCCTTCCTAGAATCCAAATAGCACCTACAAGTAACCAAAAGAGTTTTACATAATAATTTTTGTTAAATTTCAAGAAGCTAGAACAATAACTCTTTCTGGGTGTCTGTTACCTTAATCTCTCAAGTACTTAGTGAAG